GGAAAGGGAGATACATGGCTGGTTTTAAGGAGCACCTGAACACATAGGAAGTCCATTGATGCTTACTAACCTCTGGAATTGATAAGTTATGGTGCGAAAAAATCTGATCCGGCTGGCAATAGTTGTAGCAACGAGTGTGCTTCCGTGCATTTTGAGTTGGTAGGAGTATGAAATAGAGTGGTTATTCTTGAGGGGGGGGGGGGCAACTGGTACGAGCTCTGCCTTTTAATTAAGTAGAAAAAGAATTCACCAGTCAAAAGAAAAACTGGCTTTAGCTTCTCTTGTTTAGGGATTGTGATTTTGTCTACCTGTAGTAGTAACTATGTTGGGCAGGCTGGCTTGTTGAGGTGAAAGCTCCTCAAAAGATTGTCTAGATGATTCTTTGGTATTTTTGTGGGGAATTACCTGGTGTTACATTACGGTCCATATGTTAGTTGCAATTTGTCAGTTTAGTGCACATGCATCTCAAAAGAATCTGGGAAAGGGAGATACATGGCTGGTTTTAAGGAGCACCTGAACACATAGGAAGTCCATTGATGCTTACTAACCTCTGGAATTGATAAGTTATGGTGCGAAAAAATCTGATCCGGCTGGCAATAGTTGTAGCAACGAGTGTGCTTCCGTGCATTTTGAGTTGGTAGGAGTATGAAATAGAGTGGTTATTCTTGATCTTATTCACCTTCATCGCTTGATGCTCAATTGGAAGTCCATTGCACTAAACTATGTTGGTCAGGCTGGCTTGTTGAGGTGAATGCTCCTCAAAAGATTGTTTGAATGATTCTTCATATTTTTGTGGGGAATTACCTGCTGTTACATTACGGTCCATATGTTAGTTGCAATTTGTCAGTTTAGTGCACATGCATCTCAAAAGAATCTTGGAAAAGGAGATACATGGCTGGTTTTAAGGAGCACCTGAGCACATAGGAAGTCCATTGATGCTTACTAACCTCGGAAATTGATAAGTTATGGTGCGAAAAAAAACCTGATCCGGCTGGCAATAGTTGTATCAACGAGTGTGCTTCCGTACATTTTTAGTTGGTAGGAGTATGAAATAGAGTGGTTATTCTTGATCTTATTCACCTTCATCGCTTGATGCTCAATTGGAAGTCCATTGCACTAAACTATGTTGGTCAGGCTGGCTTGTTGAGGTGAATGCTCCTCAAAAGATTGTTTGGATGATTCTTCATATTTTTGTGGGGAATTACCTGCTGTTACATTACGGTCCATATGTTAGTTGCAATTTGTCAGTTTAGTGCACATGCATCTCAAAAGAATCTTGGAAAAGGAGATACATGGCTGGTTTTAAGGAGCACCTGAGCACATAGGAAGTCCATTGATGCTTACTAGCCTCGGAAATTGATAAGTTATGGTGCGAAAAAAAGCCTGATCCGGCTGGCAATAGTTGTATCAACGAGTGTGCTTCCGTACATTTTTAGTTGGTAGGAGTATGAAATAGAGTGGTTATTCTTGATCTTATTCACCTTCATCGCTTGATGCTCAATTGGAAGTCCATTGCACTAAACTATGTTGGTCAGGCTGGCTTGTTGAGGTGAATGCTCCTCAAAAGATTGTTTGGATGATTCTTCATATTTTTGTGGGGAATTACCTGCTGTTACATTACGGTCCATATGTTAGTTGCAATTTGTCAGTTTAGTGCACATGCATCTCAAAAGAATCTTGGAAAAGGAGATACATGGCTGGTTTTAAGGAGCACCTGAGCACATAGGAAGTCCATTGATGCTTACTAACCTCGGAAATTGATAAGTTATGGTGCGAAAAAAAACCTGATCCGGCTGGCAATAGTTGTATCAACGAGTGTGCTTCCGTACATTTTTAGTTGGTAGGAGTATGAAATAGAGTGGTTATTCTTGCTCTTATTCACCTTCATAGCTTGATGCTCAATTGGAACCTAGTAATAAATTTAAAATTCCTGGCCATTCCCTTGATATTATTCAACATAATCATCTGTTGTTTGGTTGGAATCCACTAATGACATTAAAATTACAGGTTATCTATTTGAGTAGGAACAACTGATCCTACTGTAGAATTTGGAAGATGTGTTAAAATGAATTTTAGCCTGGTTTTGCATATCTTAAGATTTAACGAGCACTAGAGTACACAGAAAGTTCATCTTTGCTTACTAACCTACCCCCTCTGTCCCACAATATAAGAACGTTTTTGACACTATGCTAGTGTTAAAAACGTTCTTATATTTTGGGACGGAGAGAGTAGCAAACAACCTGAGCCACCTGGGGATAATGGTATTGTGAAGTGTCGTGTGTACATTTTTTGTTAATACAAAATACAGTTGGTTATTCTCTTGGATGTTCGCCTTGAGCAATGTTTTTAGAAGCTGATCACTGTTTTTCAGATACAAGAATGAACTGCAATTATAGAATTTAAGAATATATTTGATGACTGGTATAATTAATCACTTCTTGTTAACCATTTTCTAGTAAAAAAAATTCAGGGTAGGCTTTGCAACATCTAAAAGTTCCAACCATAATCGCGATGCGTATAGGTTTCCCCAGTAAGGTTATATGAGATGTCCATCTGGGAATACTGTGAGAAGCCCATTCTTTCCAAAGAAACAGCTTGGTATAGGATTGTGTTTTGATTGAATATCGGATATAGCTATATTTTTGGTGACTTGGCGTTTGATGCTATTCCTTTCTGTGGTGTGCTTGCATTTGTTTCTCATATGGTGGAGAACTGGCCTTATATTGGGCATGTGTATTCATGTTCTTAGTATTCATATTTCATGCTCTTGAGATAGTATCAGACTGTATATTCGTTTCAAGCACATATGAGATTCATCCGCTGGAAGATCAGCTTGAGATTAAGCCGTTTATGCATATGAAGTACAGTAATTGCAATGCTCTTTTGGTTTATTTACCTTGCCGTGAATTCAGTCGCTAGGGACTGTATGGCTGGATGTGAAGTGAACAAAACTTTGAGGTTGCTTTATCTCGGTTGCTTAACTCCCACCTGATGGGCATTGTTTTGTACTCCCTCTGTTCCTAAATATTTGTCTTTTTAGAGATTTCAAATAAACTACCACATGCGGATGTATATTGACATATTTTAGAGTATAGATTCACTCATTTTGCTTCGTATGTAGTCACTTGTTGAAATCTCTAGAAAGACAAATATTTAGGAACGGAGGGAGTACTTCTTTATCCTTGTGTCTATGTTTTCGCCAAGAAAATTTATGCAAGTCAAATTCAGTTATATGAGTAGGCACATATTAGGCCAAAAATTGCGGCATCGTATCCGAGGGAAACACTTGGTAAATAATGGGTATCACTAATTGATTGTTTCTGCATTGTTCACTGGCTCTTACCCAAGCCCTGGAATACGTAAACAAAATCCAGCTCTACCACGCCTGAAGGAAAACGCCATAAAAATTCCTCGATCTTTTGATGGCTATACACACCTATCCGTTCATATGCAAGATATGGCAGTACATTAGGCAAGTTTGCACACGAATTTACAGATAACTACTCCTAGGTAGCCACGAGGTGAGGATTCAGTCTTCAACGGGGAAGAACCACGTCGGAAACCGCGGGCTATCCCACGGCAGGGGCGCGGGCACTGACGACTCCGGCAGCAACGCCGTGATAGTTTTACGTCTCATGTCGTACACGCCGGAGTCCCCGAGCGAGCCGTCACCGGGCTTCCTCCCGAGGTACTGGCGCCGCAGGAAGTAGACACAATCTTCTCGAGCTCCGTCACCGGCGGGGGCAGACTTGGAGCACCGCGCACACACGAAGATCGCCCGGCCACCCAGGCCGTCGACCTTCTTCCACTGGCCAGCCCGCGGCCTGCCGTCTCCAAGCTCCGCCTCGAACACGTCCAGCCGCCGAGTCCGCTCCATGCGCCTGTAACCACCCGGCCCGTCCGCGGCCGCTCTCACGCACCGCCTCGCCATGCTCTCCGGCGCGTCCCATCTCACCCATCGCCTCACCATCAGCAGCTTGCCGTCGGACTCGACGAGGTACAGCCGGGCCACGCTGTCGGGAAATCTTCTCTGGATCCTGTAGCGTATGTAACGAGCACTGCAGCGGGAGTCCACGGAGTCGTGTGCCCGGCTGCCTTCTATCAGCGTGACGCCGCCTGCCACGTCGGGCCTGGCTCCCGCCGGGGTCGGCTTGCGGAGGCGGCCATTGCCGAGCTCGAAGCCGACGAGCTCCTCGGTGTTGGAGACGCCGTAGATCTTCCCTTGAAACAGAGCGATGTCGATGATTAAGCGCTCGCTCAGCACCAGGCACGAGTTGACCTCGCCGCCCCGGCGGCGGGTCGAGACGATGACCCCGCAGTCGCTGGTGAGGACGGCGATGACGGGGAGCGCCGCCGAGGGCGCGGAGACCACCACCTTCTCGATGCGCGTCTTGTACATCCCGGTGTAACGCCGCAGGAGGGCGGCGAGCTCGGGCTGCGGGGTCATGGCGCCCGAGAAGGCGTCCATCAGGGAGCACCGCCCGTCGTCGTGCATGACGAAGAGCATGTTCTCGCCCGCGCTGTAGCAGCCGGCGGCGTCGCTCGGGAGGCGCACGCGGTGCGCGCTGCTGTTGGGTACGTCCAGCAGGGTGCCGTCGCCGAAGAGGATCCAGGGGAGCTGCACCGGGGGCGGTGGCTGCTGCCTGGCGCTCAAGCGCCACGCGCGGCAGACGGCGCGGAGGCGGACGCGGTCGGCGAGGGACGGGAGACGGTGGAGGACGACGCCTAGGAGATCCGGCGGCAGGTCCGGCCACCCGGATCGGCGCTGGCTTTTGGGAGGTGCCATCTTTGGGTGATCTAATGGATCCGATCCGACGAACTCAGTCCACCGAGAACTCGGCAACTCGCCCAGTCCAACGGCGCCCAGTAGTTTCCGAGCACAACGACGAAGGCGAAGAAGCAAGGAGTAGGTACGACAATTACAGAAAACTAGCGTATACATAACGGTGACTGCATCTAAAACCTAGCTCGAGCCGGCACCAGGAAGCCGTGTTTACTTCCAGCAACCAAAGTTAATTGCGGGAGCTCCTATTCGACGCTCATCGCGTGGAATAGTAGTTTTTCCAGGGGTACGTGGAATAGTTTTTTTTTGCAAATGTAAAAAGTTCACAAATTTGAAGAATGTCGCGAATTTATAAAAAAAATGTAAAATATTATTTTCATGAATTATAAAAACTTGCATATTTTAAAATACTATTTTAGTTGTGAATTTTAAAAGAATGTTCATAGGTTTGAAGAAAATCGCAAATTTTAAAAGGATCATCAATCTTAAAAATGTTCATGAATATTAAAGAAATCATAAATTGAAACAATGTTCACCAAATTTAAAAATCATGAATTTAAAAATTCTCACAACTTCAAAAATGTGTTCATGAACTTTAAAAAATGTTCATGAATTTGAGAAAATGTTTGCCGGTATGAAAAATTCTTCATGAAGTCTAAAAGTGTTCACGAATTTTAAAAATGTTTGTGGTTATGAAAAAATGTCCATGAAGTCTAAAAGTGTTCATAAATTTAAAAATTGTTTGTAAATTAAAAAAAGAATAATGAAAATGAAAGAAAAGAAAGGAGAAGAATCACAACTTCAAAAAAAAAATCTGAATTTTAAAATATGTTCACGAATTTGAAAAAATGTTTGCCATTATGAAAAATCCTTCATGAAGTCTAAAAGTGTTCACGGATTTGAAAAAATGTTTGCGGTTATGACAAAATGTCCATGAAGTCTAAAAGTGTTCATAAATTTAAAAATGTTTGTAAATTTAAAAAGAATAATGAAAATGAAAGAAAAGAAAGGAGAAGAATCACAACTTCAAAAATGTGTTCGCGAATTTTAAAAACTGTTCACGAATTTTTAAAAATGTTTGCCGTTATGAAAAATTCTTCATGAAGTCTAAAAGTGTACACGAATTTGAAAAAATGTTTGCGGTTATGGCAAAATGTCCATGAAGTCTAAAAGTGTTCATAAATTTCAAAAAATGTTTGTAAATTAAAAAAGGAATAATGAAAATGAAGGAAAAGAAAGGAGAAGAATCACAACTTCAAAAATGTGTTCACGAATTTTAGAAAATGTTCACAAATTTTAAAAAATGTTTGCCGTTATGGAAAATTCTTCGTGAAGTCTAAAAGTGTTCACTAATTTGAAAAAATGTTTGCGGTTATGACAAAATGTCCATGAAGTCTAAAAGTGTTCATAAATTTTAAAAATATTTGTAAACTAAAAAAGGAACAATGAAAATGAAAGAAAAGAAAGGAGAAGAATCACAACTTCAAAAATGTGTTCACGAATTTTAGAAAATGCTCACAAATTTTAAAAAATGTTTGCCGTTATGGAAAATTCTTCGTGAAGTCTAAAAGTGTTCACTAATTTGAAAAAATGTTTGCGGTTATGACAAAATGTCCATGAAGTCTAAAAGTGTTCATAAATTTTAAAAATATTTGTAAACTAAAAAAGGAATAATGAAAATGAAAGAAAAGAAAGGAGAAGAACCCACCCACCCACCCACCCCCCCTCTGAATGTTGGAAGTAAACCCAACGTCCAATCGGATTACATGTACGTATCCGTGTCCAGCTAGTGCATGAGATAGTTACCTTGTAGGATTAGTATTCCATGCTGATTCGGTTTGTAACTAGGCAGCCTAGCTGTTATATATATGTGCACGTACCCCCTGTACCCTTGTATCCTGAGTTGAAGCAATAAAGAATCAGGAACGTCACGTTCCTCTGGCAATACCTTGGCGTCGTGTGCGTGGTGGCGTTTGGTTTCCGGCCGGCTGGCCGTAGTGTACGCTCACGTGTTTCTGGTGTTGTTTGCCGTAGCTATCGATCAGGAGTTCATCGACTAGTAGAAGGCTACCTTTGCACTTGCATCTCGGCGTAAAGTATTTCGTCGGGCTGAGCCAGCTTGGGGCAGGAACCAAGGCAGTCAGCGTCGCTTTGCTTCGTCGTCGTTCGTCGTCGGTTGTATCACCGTCGCCGAAAAGTACTCGGCGTCGGGTCTGGACCAACAATTGGTATCAGAGCAATGTTGATCTTCTAATAACGGGAGATCATGTCGGACGACGAGAAGGACAAGACCAAGCAACTGGCGGTGTACTCGGGTGCGGCTAAAGTAATTGCTGCTCCGGTGAGATCGGAGTATCCATGATTCGACCGTGGGAACTTCGTGGTGTGGGCGACCATGATGGAGTGGGCGCTCGAGGCCAATGAGCTCTGGGAAGCCGTCGACCCCGGCGGTGAGGAGTACCTGAAGGGTGGTGCCTTGTATCGGAAGGATCGCCATGCTATCACGGCCATATGCTCGGTGATGCCGGTGGACGTGCAACAGCATCTAATCTCGAAGACATCGGCAAAGGCGGTGTGGGACACGCTCAAGACATTGCATCTGGGGCACTCGCGTGTGCGCGAGGCTAACTTGCAAACTTTGCTGAAAAGTTACGAGAATCTGAGGATGGGAGAAGACGAGACGGTGGACGCCTTCGCAGTGAGGGTTGCTTCCATGGTGAACGGGATTCGCGGTCTCGGAGAGAAGTTAGAGGACATCTCTGTGGTCAGGCGTTTCCTACGTGCTGCTCCATCACGCTACATGCCGATTGTGTCAGCGATCGAGCAGTGTGTTGATCTCAAGACTCTCACCTTGGATGATCTGGTTGGTCGTTTCAAGGCCCATGATGAGCGGATGAAGTTGAGTTACGGCGATGCAAAACAGGATGAGTACCCGATGTTAACACGTGCTCAGTGGCTGGCAATGGTTTCCAAAGAGAACAATTTCGACAAGGCGCCCGATAGCAGCGGAAAGTACCGTCCCGCAAAGGTCACCGACGAACAATCGGAGAAGCCAAGGAAGAAAAAGTTCGACAAGAGGAAGATCCGCTGCCACAACTGTAATCTGCTCGGGCACTTCAAGTCGGAGTGCAAGAATACCCCCAAGGAAAAGGCGCTCATGGTCCAGGAAGATGATGAAAGTGACATGATGTTGATGTGTGAACTCGTGGACGAGGAGGATCCAGTTCTTCAAGCGTCGGCTAAAGAAATTGTCGAGCTCTATGAAGAAAAAGTTCGCTCTCAAGATCGTGGTTTGAAAACTCGTGTCGATGCTACGGACACGGGGGATGATTCTGAAACTTATGTCGATGTTACGGGCATAAGTGCTAACTTCGCTGGCGCAGATGCAGCGATTGCCGCATGTGCTCGGCCGTGGAGAAGCAGCCTTGTTACAGACCTGAGGGGTATTTTTGAAACTTGTGTCAAAGCTACAGACACAGATGGTAGTCCTATTGATGTTGATGCAAAAGTAGAAACAGGCGCAGCAGCTAGCAGTGGCAACCGTGGCCCCTGTGCTACATTTGGGCGGTCCGAAGGCAGCAGTTCAAGAGATTGGCCAGAAAGGCCGAAGAATAGCAGCAGCTGCCCACTTCAGGAGGGAGCTGCTAGTGGCCTGCGTGGAGGAGCCTTAAGTGGTGGAACGGATGGATTTGGCTCATCAAGAGAAGTTCCACTAGGCTGCAGCTCGGGTGTGAAGACTGTTGAGCGTGGCCCATAGGGAGAAGGAGGCTCAAGCGCAGGCGTGTCTGAAGGCTGTGGAGGTGACGGGCTTGGCTCATTGGTTAGTGCTGGCAACCTGGCCAGCAACAATCTAAGCAAGCCACGAGGCCCACCAAAGGCCATGCATGCATGTCCACGTTCTATGTATGAGCATGCATCAGGATCTACATTGTCTACATGCTTGTACGTAGGAAAGGATGCCATGTTGACACCTGCATCGCTTCCGATAGTACAGGAGGAAAGGACACTGTCATCTACATCCCTATTGCTTCAACCGGAGTTGCACCCGTATCCGGAGGAAAAATATCGGACGATTGACCCGGAAAGGGTGAAAAGGAGTGGGCGACGGTGTCTAAGCTTCGAGGAACCGACGGATTTTGAGGATGCGAACACGAAGGAGTGTTGGCGTCACGCTATGGAAGAGGAGTTGAGGTCGATCCACGACAATAATGCATGGATGCTTGTGGATCTTCCCAACAATGAAAAAGTCATGGATCTCAAGTGGAAATTTATGATCAAGAAAGATGCCGATGGGTCCGTGAAACACAAAGCGAGGCTAGTAGCCAAAGAGTACGTGCAAGAGGAAGGTGTGGACTTCGAAGAAGCGTTCGTTCCCATTGAAAGGATGGAATCGGTGAGATTACTCATCGCTCTCGCAGTTCAGGAATCATGGAAGATACATCACATGGATGTAAAATCCGTGTTTTTGAATGGTGAGTTAGAAGGAGATGTGTATGTGAATCAGTCACCGGGATTCATCAAAGAGGGAGAGGAACACAAGGTACCGAAGTTACACAAAGTCTTGTATGGGCTACGCCAAGGCTCTCGGGCATGGAGCATCAAACTTGATCGAACGA